TGATAAGTGCAAACAAATAGAAATGTCAAGGAAAAATAAAGTGCAATTACTGGATTTAATATATATATATATATATATATAGGACTTTAGCTTTCTCACACGACAAGCTGCTATGGGAATGAATGATAGGAGTCACCGGGAAAATCTAAGTCTATTTCACCAAATGATATTTCTTCTATGCCTAACCTGCCCGACAGAATCTACTAAGGTGCCCTATGCTATCTCTAGTAAGGGACTCGACAGATTAAAGATGCCATGACAAAACCGATTGGCGTAAATCCCTGCAGTGATCCTATTGGTTCAGATAACATGATATGTCTCGGCAATACCTTTTTGCGGCAGCATTAACATCTAACATATCTCTCATGCACAACTCCTTTTAGTCGAATGAAATCCTAGCCTTATCTCTAAGGTGGATTAGGCTTGGTTACTATCTAGAACCCCTTGCTTATGTGGTTCCTCCCTAGTTTCTCTCGAACACTAAGGATGTGTTACCTAGATATTCTCTCGAACCCTAAGAATCTCCTAAGGAATGGCTACTCTCGTAGCTCCTACAACCTTAAGGCACTAAGCTTCATAAACAAAACAGATTATAGCATAGAAAAATAATCATTCATTGAAATAAAACTTAAACATCCAAAATGAACTCCCACCAAATAGGATTAGTTCATGGTGGGGTTCGAAATAAACAAACACAAAGAAAGTTTTATCCGTTCCTTACAACCCAAGTGATAAAATATTAAAGCAAAGAACAAAGGGAATGAGAAAAAGCCTTCGACGTGCACTGCCGAAGCTTCCCTCGACCACCACGAACTGCCCCCAGCGAACTAGCTTTTCTCGGATGTCTAGAACGCCACTCCCTCAAGCTTGTCACGGAGAAATGCCACGACAAGTAGGATTGACGAAGAAAGATGAGGCATTCTCTCTCTAACTTTTTAAGCTCAAATCTGGGTGGAACCAAAGTCTTCAACACTGTGGCTTTATCCTCTATTTACAGGGGAAAATAAATCCTAAGACTTGATATTAACTTTCCTAGGAAACCCCAAAAACCATGGTTAAGTGCTTAAGAGCTGAGCAGAACAGGCTATGATGCAGCCTGGGTAGCTGACTGATGGACCGGCAAAATCCCGTTGCAGGCGCCCAAGGACAATCAGGATCTGCAGGGTCAGGCAGGGTCATCGGCAGAACCAGCGGTTGCAGTGTCGGTCCCTCCAGGCGGATCTTCGAGGTGAATTTCTCGGGCAGAGGACACAGAGAGTTGAGGACAACTGGCTAGAAAATATCTTTTTTCACCTTGTGCGCTCTCGAAATGCCAGTCTAACTTGGCATTTTTTTTAGCTCAGCAATCTACTTATGTCACGGCATTTTCTTTCCTCTTTTCCTTGCTCTCAATACCTGCACATCATCAGACAAATACCTTTCCCATAAAGCAGCACCGCTGTAAAAGTAAAATGCCACGGCAAACCAAAATCCACCACATGCAACTAAATGCTTCTAAATGCATCTACATGGTCCTAAATGAGCCTTTAGACATTCAATAACTTAAGTTAAAAGGTCCCAAAATGTGGCCTTTTACGAAATTATCAAGCATTAAGGGCCACAATCCATGGGGGTTAATACTTAGCATCATGAACCTGAGTATTACGCTCATTCCATATTTTCCATAAAAGGACTATAAATAGCGAATATGTTAATCCTAACGACTCTCATACATACACATAATCTTTCAGAACCAATGCAAAGGAGACATACAAACAAAGGACCCAACCGAACCAATAAATCCCGCCAGTCCTAAGGACTCTCGTGCATACACATAATCTTTCAGCACATGAATGGTGGTCTCCTTTGCTACACGATGCATGGGACAAAACCATCGCCTATGTCTTCTTCACGAAGATGCTTTTCCACTAGTATACCATCATGTGCCACACGCCATGCAAATACTCTCGCCTTTGGGAGCACCTTTAATTTTGCAATAGCCTGCCAAACCTTTGAAACTGGTTTCACTGAATGTAAAGGCAGCTGTAACCACCAGTATCCTTATCGGACAAAATTTGTGCCAAAGTCGTGAAATCCCTAAATTAGTACCTCCTCTGAGCAAGGTGTGATAGTCATTGCTAAAATCTTCCCAATATCCTCAACCGTGAACATAGCTCGAACCCAAGACTCAAACCAAGTATTGTTACCTGGATGCATAAAGAATGACGCCTTAAACCGTTCTAGAGGGAAATCAGTATAATCACCAGAAATGGTTACTCTACCTGACCTACCCCATTGTTCCTGCAAAAGGTTCACTTTGCTATAAATTCCGATATGCTAGAAAAGAGCACTAGACATAGCTTGAAGTGCTTTATACATCCATTTCCAAGCATAAGAACTTGTAACTCTTTTTTTAGCATTAAGAATATCCCTGCTAGGGAAATATTTTGCTCGTAACACACAATAGAGCAAACAATTGGGGTATCGAATAAACCTCCATACACGTTTACCTAACAGTGCCAAATTAAAGGAGTGTAAGTCTTGTAAATCAAGTCCTCCTAAACGTTTCTGTTGACAAATCTTTGACCATGCAATAAGAGACCATCCTCTATCTGTAGTCTTTCTCGCCCACCAGTAACACCGCATTACAACAGTCGTGTCATTAAGCAACCACTCCGAAAGCTTGTAACAAGACATAGTGTACTGAGGTAATGCCTGTGTCACAACTTTAAGGAAAATCTCTCTACCTCCATAAGATAACATTCGTTTGTCTATCTGTCAACACGGTCAAACACTTTGGTTCGCAAATATCCAAAGGCGTCAGTTTTGTTCTTCCCAATGTATAATGGTAAAGCCCAAATAGTGACTGAGAGACTCAACTGATTGAATTTCTAAGTATGTTCTTTAATTGTCGACGATGATCATCAATGATCTTGGGGCTAAAATAGATAACCGATTTATCCAAGTTCACCCTCTAACCAGAAGTCTCAGCATAGATTTGAAGAATTTCCTTAATGTGTCACGCCTCTAATGTAGAATTTTTCATGAACACCAAGCTATCATCTGCAAATAATAAATGCGAGACACGCGGTCCACCTTGGCAAACACGAATGCCCTTGATTGTACCCTCCCTTTGCGCCTTGTGAAATAACGCCGATAATCCTTGAGTCACAAAAAGAAAAAGGAAAGATGAGAATGGATCGCCTTGCCGAAGTCCCCTAGATGGGGTAAATTTCCTAGTGAGTGATTCATTAACGCATGCCGTAAATGTAACAGAGGTGACACATTGCTTAATAGTGGCCACAATTTCACTATTAAAACCAAGTTTGACCATGACTGCTTGGAGAGAAGTCCATTCAACCTTGTCATAAGCCTTCTCAATATCCAGTTTAAGTGCCGCTTCTTTATTTGTACCATTACAGGATGAATTCAGATAGTGCAAAAACTCATGTGCACCAAAATAGTATCTGCTATTTGACGTCCCGAAAGAAAGGCTGTTTGGTTATCACTTATACATGAAGCCATGACACTATTTAATCGATTAACCAATACCTTAGAAACCACCTTATAGACGACATTGCACAAGGTAATGGGTCGGAGTTGTTTCATGTAAATCGGCTCTTCTTCCTTCGGGATGAGCGCCAGATCGTCTTCTTTACTGTTTTCATATCCATTGTGCCATTTAGCAATTGTAAACAAAAGCTAACGACATCAGGACCAACCAAATCCCAATGCAAGCGATAAAAACTCATTGGCAATCCGTCAATGCCTGGTGCTTTCACAGGATTGATGTCTTTAAAAACGATTAGCACCTCAATTTCAGAGTAAGGCTTGTTGAGTTCGGCATTCATAGATGTTGTAACAACCTCATCAATTGCCACGATAACGGAAGTGGCCATAATTGGGTTAGAAGACATAAACAGGTGAAAGTAACCGACAACTGTATCCTCCAAAGCAGCATTATTAGTCGTCCATAGCCCATATAACTAAATTAACTATTAGTAAATTTACTGTTTATAGTGAAAAAAATATCGAAACATTGTTTAATTTTTTTTACTAAAATTAACGTAATAAAGTAATTAGACATATTGCATTGAGTAATATTTTTAACCTTGTAATATTATATATGTGATAGGTTAGAGACTCTAAATATAAAAATTATATCAATATATAATTTTAATCCCATCGGTCATATTTAAGAGTTATAATCATATTAAATTTTTTTATATTTATTTAAAAATTCAAATAACTCATTAAGCGACTAAGTAATAAAAGGAGATTGTTATTCTTAGAGATTTCGAGTTTGAGCAGTTATTTCTATAAGCAATGTACATTATCAATGAATAAAAAAGATTCTGAATCTTAATTATTCAAATGAAAAAACATCACGAAGAAAATTCATAAAGATCGGTTTACTGTTTACTGTTTACTGTTTACACTAAAAAACTAATTTAGGGATGAATACCGAACAATTCAGCATGTTTGTTTGTTTGTTTTACTCTTTTCAGCCACCGTTACTAGGAGGAAAATGAAAGAAGTTAGGTTAAATGATTAATATATACAGAAAAGAAAAATCAGGGTTGATTTGTTCCTATTCTTTTCTCGCCTTTCAGCAGACAATGCCACCTGCCGACACGCAAGACGGTGAGCAGCTATGTATTGAAAGCAGTTGTCAGAGTTTCGTACTAAAGACCAAATCAAACATGGAAGACTTCACTACGATGAGTTTTGATTTGAAGAATATCTTAACTGGGCTGAGTTGTATTATTCTAAACTGTTATTGCAATTCTATTTTATTTTAATCAAACTAAATAATGCATATAGTACGTAATTGATTTAGCATGTCATATTGATGTCAAATTCACTATTCTTCCATTTAAATTTCTGGCCCTTATAACAAATTTTGAATAATTTCATGCAAGTTTGAATTTTTTTATAAATATTATTATAAATCTCAGATGAGATCTGGTCCATTTGTAGTAAACTACTTCGTATCACATGAAAAACAAAGCATCAAATAATACTCAAACTTTAATTAATAAACATGTTTTGCATAAACTTCTAAGCTGTTGTGTGGTACATGACCATAAATTCTTATATGGAAAAATGTCAATCTACAATTCCAGCAATACTCAGTGGTGTTCTGTGTTGGCATCGCTGGTTGGTTCTCAACTGCTCTTGGGCTTGCTTGCTTTTGGAAAATCCTTGGCAGCAACAAATTGTGTTCTTGATTTCCGACTGTTTCTCTTTTCTTGCTATCGTGTTCGATTATTCTGAACTATGCAGTTAAAAATCGAGGTTCCCTGTTTTGGAGGAACTAGAGCAACTACCTGATGTGCCGTACGAAGTTCCACTCGAACCATCGACAGGGGCCTGATTTAAGCATTCTAAAACCAAATACCGACGCTTCTGCAACTTGATTGAGAAGGTTGTTGCCTCGAGAATCACAGGAACCTGAGAACATTAAGGAAAAATAAGGTATAAGATTAATTGTGCAAAATTCGAGTAAAACTGACAGTTGCATTGTTATATATCTCTTAAGGAATTTGATCAAGCTGTACAAGACTGGGATGAAGATTAATGCTTACGAACCTGTGTGTTGATGCGTGCCACTTTGTGCACATTCAGAAAGCCAACCATATCTTGGTAACCAGTGAGTAGTAGTGCCAACTCCTTGTCTTCATCTGAAGGAAGAATCCAAAAGATTAACAAGTCAGTACAAACTAGGAACCAATAAATGCAAACGATGAGCACGAGGTAGTTTGACAATAAACCTTGAATTGCTTTGACTGAAAGCAACGTGTCTGCCATGTGCTGCCATCTTTTACAGAAGGATGGTGAAAGAAGGGAAGGAGTAAAGGTTATTATGGCTACCGAATTCAAAGACTGTACCGTGCTTTTGAGAGATCTAATAAATGAAAGTATCTCCCACTCCTGCAATAGTTCATATTATGACCCTTTAAAAAATGCATGCCATCAAAGTGAGTTCCAAAACTGCGACTTCTACTACTTCAATGCTCCAAAAACATCTTATATTTAAGCACTTGAAGGAAAAGAAACAGAAATTTATAATAGCTCAATAAATCCAAAAAATCTTCCACTAACCATGTTGGAATACGCACACTGTGGAGAACAAAATGATTGAATAGCGATACGACCAGCACAAGAAATGCTGCCATCATTTCTACAAGATTGCCGAAAAAGAGGAATGACTGACAAGTATACCAAATGGAAAGAAGGAAAAGAAAGGTAATGACAAGTTAGTCAAAGACACTAAAATTAAGATTTTGGAGCTTCATACAGGATTCTTCATGCAGCCATAAGGGAGACGACATAACAAGTAATAATAAAATCAAACACTAGCAAATATGCCAGAATGATCAAATAATTCCAACATCATTAATATATGAACAAGAAGGCAAACAATGATACCGCGGGAACTGAGATAAAAATGTTGCACATCGATCCTGAAGAGTGGAAAGGTCAGAAAAATCTTGGATGCTAACACAATCTATGCGCTGGCCATTGATTAAGTGCCTCTCTAGGGGCTTCCGCAAGTCAAATTCATTAGAGTACTCACGTTTTCCATCTGCAAAATGATCACATAAAGAGAGACCACAAGTACATTGGAAAAGAAAATAGCATGAACACTGATTAAGAACAGGGCATTTTTCAGATAAGTAACTGAAGAGTGATAGCATGGACATTGGTTAAGAACAGGGCACTTTCAAACAACAATAGAAAAGTTACGGTAGCTTGAGCATTGGTTAAGAACAGTGCACTTTCAAACAACAACCGAAAAGTGAGGAGTGTAACGAGGGATAAACTACCTCTTTGGCCATCAAAAGTGAGCTGATTTTCACCAAAATACTTCTTATACTGCCAAGCAATTCTCAGACCTTTCTCCTGTAATTTTTTTTAATACAAAATTCACAATCTGAGCATTTAAACACAAGATAATTCAAACAAACTTAAGAAACCAAAGAAAACAAGTGTCAAAGATAAAGAGACCTGATTTGGATCAGGTTCCCGGGATTTGTCATCTTTGGATACAGCAGGACTGGGCAAAGTACCCAAAAATCCCCTTGGATCTCTGGCTGGACTAGCATAGAGAAGAGGTTGACCGTGAACAAGTCCCTGAGCCATGAAATTCCTCAACAAAAGCATGTGATGTGGTGCTTCTGCATCTTCCATCACCATAACCAGGCTTCCCAAAGGGAACCCACCACCCAGTACCTCTGCATAACAAGTAAAAAACAATAGAATAAGAGAACACATCACTCAAGTCAGTGATAAGAGCATGTTAGGCAATTATGTGCATGCATTACTGTCAAGGTCGGGTATCCCAGAAGATAGAAAGACCGTGCCATTAGGCCCACACATAAGTCCAGGGCCTAGAGATGGGGCTGCAGTGGAAAGGTTTCGAGAGAAGCTACTCCTCCGAATCTTGGCCGTAGCCATAGCAGTAGCAACAGTAAAAAAAACGCCAAGCAATGCAGTGATCTAAGACTTTCCCGGTTCTACTCCAGCAAGATTGTTCAGACTTCAGACAATACCCTGTTGCACACTTAGTCAAAATAAAATCTAAAAAACCAACAGGTATCACTAAGAATATCAAAAGCAGCAATGAAATCATATAAAACAAAAGGCATACTTCTCATAATCACGTGATTAGAACAAAAAATTATTAAATTTATTTCAAATTTTAGCTCTTTCCATACCGCCCATCTTTGGCAAAACCAATAAACACGAAAAAGTCTGAAGTTTTCTTTAAGAACCCATATTTTGTTTTTCCGTCTCTTTACACTCAATCCTTACATAAAATAAAAGGAAAGCAGTTATGGCAAACATGAAAAAAGCTCCAAAGGTGTGTCTTTCTATCTAGGTAAGGAAACAGAGATGAATCAAATTCTCACCTGTGGTTCCAAAAGTGCGACTTTTTAGTAAACTCCTCCCTCCAAGTTCACTGCCTCTGAAGTTATGGCAACTTCTTCCAACTCTTCGCTTTCCCGGCCTCAGATTTCCGCCATTCTCAAAGCAGTTATGTGCGTTTCCGTCGCGCTTGTTCCTTTTTAAACCCCAAATCTGGTTGATGTTTGTTTTTAAGGTTTAACGCAAAGCGCTTCGCCTCATCGGGATTTTGGGCTTAGTCTGTTCATAATTTTAGTGGGCCTCATCGGGAGTTTGTTCTTTTTTTTAATAACATTTTAAATAAATATTATTTAAAATATTATATTAGTTACGTATAGTTAAAAAACACTAGCATGACTAACGTAACGGTTTGAAAGTAACAGTGAGCAGACCTAACTTCATTTTATTTAGGATAATAACATTTTTAATCCTTCATATTTACAGATTCAAAATATTTGGTCTATTTTCATTTCCTAAATCAAAATTAAAATGTACTTATGATTCAATACATATAATGGATGGTCTCTTATAATGGCGATGTCTGATTCGAACGTTTCAAGCCTTGCCCTACAGCATTGAACTATACTGCTGATCCTTCCGCAATAAGGCTACTGCTTTGAGTTTGCTTCTACAACCAGAAGAAGCAATGAAGCACTAATGGCTGCCCCTACCACAGATCAACCGTAAATTTGTTGGATCTAATCGAAACTAGATATCAAGACGATGCAGACAATACAGCTTTCCTACATTCAACATATAAACCGCTACGCAGCATATATACTATTTTTGACAAGTTATGACATTTGAGTAACGAGTAGTTAAAGCTAGACGAGCAGCGGAACAGTGCAGGCATAGGCAAAAATTATAATATAAGTCATAACAGGCAACTCCATTGAATATTGCTAGTGAACCTCAGGGAAAAAAGTTGTTTATTATTTTCATTTCTCAACAGCAAAAGCAGTATAAAGAAGGAACCCTTCACAGAACAGTGAACAAAATACTTTGATGCATGCCAGCTTTTCCTCCATTGATATCTGGCTCGAATAGCACCAAGAAGAGTTCACAAATGTTTGAATACAGGTTCAGCATCTTCAAAAGGTAAATGGATGAGAAACTTGCTTCTCTCCTTTGAATGACCAGACTAGACAAATTTTAATAAAGACATTCGGCTAACTTGAGTTGGTCTCCTCCTGTTTTGTAGCGGCATCTTCCTGCAGCTTCTTTTTCCGGTAATCATCAAGAGGAGGCCCGAATATCGCCTTCCCAGAAACAACTCCAATTCTGCGAAACACCAATAGTGAACTTGTCTATACCATTTGAGAATCATAAAGCTCCAACACCAAGATATCATTCAAAAACAAGAATAATCTATCGAGACGGTGCATTTAACGAGATGTATAATGTTTCAGAATTCGTTTGTAGTGAAATTATCTACCAGGTAGAGTTCGTGTTTAGGGTGTCATTGTACTGAAACTCGTCACGTGTTTGTAGCTATAGACATTTCTACCACTTCATGTTATTAATGGATTCTCCCCACCGGCTAAAATTTCAACACTTCATCCCTCAAGATCAAATAAAACAAGAAAAATCAGCACCAAATGGGTTTTATTTGATTAAATTTGATATGGGGAGAAATCAAACATTTTTCTTTGGGCCTTTTTTAGGTACAGACTCAAAGCAAGGTAATGAAACTTACATGACTGCTCCGATGACCATTGGGAAATTGAGAAACTTGTTGTTATGGACGAGGTTGAAGGAAAAGAAGGAAGACGAGAGAAAATAGGAGAAGAGAGATTTAGGAAAGGAAAACTTCATTCATTTCATACTGAGAGATGAAAATTCCATAATAAAAAATACGGTTTAAAGCTACTTTAAAGAATCTAAAATGTTATAACCGTAATTGGAAACATCAAACCATGTAGTATATTAAACCTTAAATAACTATATACACATTCACAAAATCATCCAATTACAAATTAAATTGAGAAAAAAATTTAAACATCGGCTTACATCAAAAGAAAACATAGCATGCAATATCGACTGTCTAGGGTTTCGAAAAACAAAAGAACAGGATTTATTTCTCCAATTAAAACGAAATAAAATAATGCTTAAATCTATGTACCGATTTTCATCTTTATAAACATACGATTAATAAAGAAATAATTAAAAGATTTTTACAATCTAAAGTATACACATAAACCCATTGGAATTGCAAAACTTTAGCCTTTCCAAGGAAGAAACCAAACCAATAAATAAATTTATAACTTAATAGCTATTCTCATGTAATTGCTTTTCAATTGTGCAGAATCGTATATACACTAAAGTAAAAAAGAAAAATTGAAACCGTAAAGTTTATTTCAATCACACCAAAAATCAAAAGTAGAATTTGAAGAATCAATCGCACGAAAAAGAAATATAAACCCTAAATTTTATACTATCATAACTTTTAAGAATTATACTACAATTTTATAGCAGAATTTTAATCCTATAAAAAATAATTTTAAAATCAATTAATTCTTAATGGTTCAACATGGCGAGGTTCTAATATCACTTGTTAGAACCAAACCATAATAAATATAAAAACAAATCAGGATCTAATCATGTCAAATCATCATAATAAAATACTAGATGCAAAATCATACTTGAATTAATCTATAAGTTGAAATCTTCGAGCATATATTTTGTTGCTATCTTCTAAGAAGTTAGAATTCTCTTGAGTATAAACTCTCTGACAAGATAATAGAAAATTGAGATGATGTATTTCTTGGGGACTATAATCATTTTATATAGCTGATTTAAGAATCAATTATGATATGTATTTATAAATTTATCTCTCATCAAATTATAAATACAATGTTAATAGTATATAAACTTTTATTTTCATTACAATTGTACTACGTTATGACTTTATAACATAATTGGTTAATCAACTTATGTCATATTTTATGATAATAATATACATTAAAAATATATGTCCATAATTATGAATTTTAATCCAATACAAATATTTTTGAAATTGTAAAAAATATTAAAGTTTTAGAGACAAGGATTACGGGAAAAAAAGCTTTAATGAAAGTGATTAAGAATTTATCCTTTAAATAAGTTGACTGAATGATTGTATGGTTTGGATTTTGCTTGGATTGCTGTCTTTGTGTATATTTGTTGACTGTTTCTTTTGCTTTTTGGGTAATTGAATTCAACATTTATTCAAAATAAAGAATGTTTTTATATATTTTTAAATCATTTATAAATTATATTTACATTTAATATACATAAAATTCTTGAAAAATCAAGCACTTCTGCTCGTGTTTTTTATATCCGACTGTCACTTAAAGCAGTGCAAAAATGATTGGTGTGCATGAGTTTTCCCATCATGATTTATGCATATTTTCCATCATAGAAGAACTATGAAATATTCACTAACCAATGAAATAATATGTACCAAAATCATTAAAGAGAAACTCAAAACCAAACCAGAAGATGGAAGAAATATATAATCAAGAAGAATATGATATATAACTATATCATATATAATAATTAACAGGGACAATAATTTCATAGTTTAAAACTTAAAACAAGAGAAAAATTATCATGGCTTGTGCTTCTGAGTATAGATATAATCGACATGAGCGGCAAGAGTTCTTCTCATCAGACACTCATCTTCTCCAACTCCATCACAGCTATCTTCAACACCATCACTCGACTGCTCAGTTTCAACAGCAAGACCCTATTAAAAAACCCAAAACCATCAAATATAAGTTTGAAGGGAGCAAAAATCAGTCAAATTTAACTAACCTCAGCTTGGGGCTGGCTAGGCGAAGCAGGGCCAAAGCGAGCGGCAAAGGATACAGTAGAAACGAGGAGAAGGGTTAAGATGAAAAAGGTGGCGACTTTAGCCATGTATATCTTTGTTAGATAATAAAGGGGAAACTGAAGAGGATTAAGGATTTGTGTAGATAAGGAGATGATAGGTGTGTGGTGATTGTGGCAAATATATATAGAGAAATGGAAGGCTAAATGACAGTGTGTGAACTTAAGAGGTGGAAAGGGAAGACTTGTAAATTCTGATCAATATTGCAGATGAAAATATAGATATATAGAATTATGAAACAGAGAATAATGTTATTAGTTTGACTTTTACAAAATTAACCAAACCCCACATCTGTCTCTTTCTAAAATGAGTTATTGACATTCTAAATATTTTTTATCTTGGAAACATATATAAATATATTTTTTAGTAATTTAGAATATTTATAAGATATTATATGTTTAAATTAGGGATGGACATTTAAAACCGACCCGACGGGTTCCGATCCGATCAGGTCGGATTTTTCTTAAAAAAATTCGGGTTTGGATCGGGTTTTTTTATGTGGTGTTCGGGTTGAGTTCGGGTTTAGGGTGAAAAAATTCGACCCGAAAAATATATATAATTTTATCCTATATATTTAGGGATAATTACAATAATACCCCTCTATATATAATTTTTTTCAATTAAGTCACTGTTTTTATTGAATAAAAATATTTTTTTATTATTTCGAGTCGGGCCGGGTCGGTCTCGGGTGGAGGCTCTCTTATTCTCGGGTCGGGTCGGGTTGACCAAAAACCCAACCCAACCCGACCCATGCCCATCCCTAGTTTAAACAATTTTAGCCTATGACAAAAAAATTTGTTTTTATTATAAAATTTTTTAATATTAGATTCTGATTAGTCAAATATATGAAAATATAAAAATTTAATAGAAAAGATATTAAAAAAATAGCAAAGCCTGAATGCAGGCGTAAAGTAATATATGTGAGAATGTAATCACATGATGTTATGCGGATGATGATTGTGGCTTAACCCAAATCTGATTGTCGAATTAATTGGTCAAAAAATTCGCATAAAAGGCATTTCGGTAGCTAATGAAAGGCAAAGTCCACGACTTAAACAAAGTAATTATGCGATTATTCTCCTTAATCGCATTATCAAAATCCAATTATATTATCTGAATTGTTTCCTCTGACCTTTTATATATAAAGCAAATTAAGTCGATTCTTCGAGAGATGTCAATATTTATTTTTCAAAAGAAGAGAAAAACTTTGGAGATTTGATTTACTAAATATTGTTATTTCATTACAATTTGTTTGCCACGAGAATCGGAAACCTAGACATGACATAGGTACAGCTAATTCAAATTCGAGCTTTTGTTCTTGGATTTTCATCACACTTATGATGAAATGAAATTTCAAAAGAATATTCTGTTACTTTTAAATTTTACGTTTTTTTAATAACCTTTATAATAATACCAAGTATCATATTAAATAAAGTTTTAATCGTAACCAACGAATTGTGCTAACAAACGAAACAGTGCACCCTTTAAGATTTAAATCAAAGAATTGTGTTAGATTTTGTTTCCTCGATAAGACTGTGAAGAGAGAAAGAAATGTCCAATCAAAGCCAGCAAGCAAGCCGATATCTTATCAGTAGGACAAAATTTGACGAGTGATCTTTCACTGTGAGAATCCATTCCAAATCCCATAGACTTTGCTGTCAAAGCATGCATGTTTTTTTCCCCTTAAATAAGTTTTCCAATTCCGTGCTTGTATTGTTTGAATCCCCTTCATTCATTCCTCATTTCTTTTCTCACCATTTAGGCACAGTGGGCTCCACGAAGAAGAAGAAATTGTGAACCAAATTTAAATAATCAATCAATTATAAAATCCATGCAAAGATCTTTGTTTCGTTTCTGTCAAAGCAAAATGTTGATATGCAAACACAAACATGCATGGCTGCAATGCATCGTTTTGTTAACCTAAGTATCTATCTACAATTCAATTGATTCATTACACTGAAAACGATCTCAAGATTTATGGACGATGAAGTGCAACGTCCAGAAAACAAACAAAAAAAGAATCGTGTATCCATTGATGCAGTTGTGTCTGTGTAATATGAAATTGTCGGTGGCAACAGTTTTTATTCGTGTCTATCGATTAAGGCGTTAGCCTTAGCCGTAGGGCAACTGCAACTCGAAATGAAAAACAGCATGCATATCTCTTCCCCGTGATAATAATAATAATGTCCATTTACACAATACCGCATGATTGAGGTTCTAATTAAAGGTTTTTTTTCTTTTGTAAAGAGTCTCCAAATTCAAAAGGAAGAAACTAATGTACTTCGCAGTATGAACATAAAACCTCAGATGTTTATGCCAAGTGAAGAGAACAAAGGATAGCAATAATTAAAGATGTTGAGGAATCAAACAAAATCGAAAGTGGGGTTAATTTTTGACATAAATTTCTTACCAAATGAGTCCCACCAACATTAATGCACACAAAAGTCTAAACCGACTTTTGAAAGGACAATGCAGAATGTTGAAGTTGAACTGAGAAGCATTGGTCTTACCCTACTATGAGTGGATGTTTTCGAATTCGACCACAAGTTCCTGACATGCATAGCCGCAATCCATCACTCATATCAGTCGAAACCAAAGCAGTGATGAGGCTATTATTAGGGCCTTAGTCAAACACCATTTCACTTCACTAAATTCATTTGTTTTGGTGTAGCTTCCGGACTAAGTACGTTATGTTGGAAAATGAAAGAAAGGGAAAGTTGAAATTGAGAAATAAACCAATCACAAAACTGTTCATGATTTTTGTTATAATGTGCTCTGTGACACATGATGGAACCACAACATCAGTTTAATTTACTTGAAAAAAAGAGAGAATAATTCATAATTAATCTATAAATTTATTATATATCTATTCAGGACATTTGATAACAGAAACTGAAAATGATTACTCGTTCTCATATATTTATCACGTCATAATTTTTTAAATTATTTTTATAAAGTTATTAATTTTTTTAAAATAGGTTTGTTAAAATTAAACGATCACAAGTGAAATATAAGAATCAGTTGGACTAGAAACCCTGAACTGACAATGTAGCCATAAGGTTTTATTTCTTTTTACAATAGGGCAAACAATTTAATTAATTAGCTTGTATATAAAAGTTTATTTATCGATCTACAACATTTACTACATTGACTTAGAACTTATCACATTAAGGTACCGAGTTCTAAAAAATATTTTCTATTCAAGTTTTTTATCCTGATGTGATAAATTTTAATAAAGAATTATATTTTATTGGAACTCATCGTTTTGATGTGACGAGTTTGAATAAAAAAATATTATTTAAACAAACTTATCACCTCGAGATGACGAGTTTTTTTAATATTGTAGCAAATACCCTAGATCCCACAATAAACTTCTATATGTCATATTAGACTAATTAATAAAACAGTTTGCCTTGTTGGGTAAAAAAAACCTGTAAGATATGATTTTGGAAGAGGCGAACCCATCCCAATAAGTGGCCCACAGTAACAGAGTGGGCTAGCAGTATCAGATGGGTAAAAGGAGTTGATCAACATAGGGTTAATCAATATCGATATAAATAATCAATACGAAATAAAAATGAATTAAAAGAGAAAAAATGAAACTAATATCGATATAAATTTATGAGTTTCTTACATTTTATACAGAATAAATAATCAACGTATTAAAATTTATATGAATGTATAATATGTTAAACACTTAGAAATTTTAGGGTAAAGTACACAAATGGTCCCCGACTATAGGGTATTATCTTATTAAGTCTCTCGATTATAAAAGTTATAAATATTCCTCCGGCTATAGAATGTTATTTTGTTATGTTCATCGACTATGAAAAGTTACAAAATGGTCTCGCAACTATTTATTATGTTCCAAAACACTCATCATTTTTCGTTAAAAATTGGCGGTTGTCTAAGCTGGACTTTAACATTCCGAATGAGATGTGATAATCTTTGAGATTCTATGATCAAATTTATCATATCACAGTCAACATGTTAACGTTCAACTCAGATTACTGTCAATTTTTTAACGAAAAATGACAAATTTGGAACACAATGAATACCGGGTGACCATTTTTAATTTTAAATAATCGTTGGAATCAACAAAGCAACACTCTATAGTCAGAGTGTCATTTTATAATTTTAATAGTCGAGGTACTCAATAAAGTAATACCTTATACTCGAGGGACCACTTGTGTAGTTTACCCTAAATTTTAACAAATGAAACGAAAACGAAAATAATATATGAATTTAATAAATACAATTGTCTTTGTGTCACTCATCATCCATTACATAAGCAACATCACTAATTAGAAAGATGTGACTTTATATGCATAATTTAATATAAAAATACACTATTTCACAATCTTATTTTAACATTAGGTTAAAAAACTCAAGTATCATCATTTAAATAATCCAATATATAAAAATGTCCTCTTCGTTGTAGTTGGTGAAAACTATTTTGGTACAATAATTGTGAAAATATAAGATAGCCACATAACGTGAAAACTTCCACCTAAATATTTTAATTAGCAACACAATTGTATTTTACATAAATCATATATGATCACTTCAGTTAGTATTAAATAAAATAATAAAATTCAGGGTTTTATTTTTTCAGTGGGTCTATTTTAATGATATCGAGGTAGTTAATTAGCCCTAAGTGATGGTTAATTATGATAATCTCGTTAAATCTTTTTATTCTTTATTATTCCGTTAAATGGTTTCCTGCTAATATTCCACCATGTATTCTTTTTAAGCATGGCTGCAATGCATTACTTGTATATATATGAAAGTGATGCTATCACATGTTGCAGAAACTGGTGTTCTCACAAAAGGGATTCAGATCTCTAGGTGAGTAGAGATGAATATAATTTTATATTAGAGATGAATTTATAAAATTTTAACTGAAAATAAATTATCGTAAAACTATCTAAAATTATTTAAATTATATAAAGATTAAAATTTTAAAAGACAGCCATCACCCGTATCAACTCCCTCGATCCGTCCTTGGTCTCTTGTGTTCATGCAGAAAAGTGGATAGTTCCGTGGCCGCATGTCACATGAATGGGGTTGCTTCA